GCAAGATTTCAAGCCTCACCAAGAGAAAGTCATTTGAAGGCTACAAAGAGAATATTGAGGTACTTGAAGCATACACAAAATGTTGGTTTGTGGTATCCTAAAGGAGCAAAGTTTGAGCTAGTTGGTTACTCTGACTCGGATTATACGGGATGCAAGGTTGAAAGGAAAAGCACCTTGGGCACATGTCAATTGTTGGGAAGATCACTAGTTTCATGGTCATCAAAGAAGCAAAATAGTGTTGCATTATCAACTGCCGAAGCCGAATACATATCCGTCGGTAGTTGTTGTGCACAAGTACTTTGGATGAAGGCCACTTTGAGTGACTTTGGAATCAAGTTGAAGAAAGTGCCATTGCTATGTGACAATGAGAGAGCAATCAAGTTGACCAACAATCTGGTTCAACATGCAAGAACAAAGCATATTGATGTCCGCCACTATTTCATAAGAGATCACCAACAAAAAGGGGACATTTGAATTGAGAGTGTAGGCACCGAAGATCAACTTGTCGATATATTTACCAAGCCATTGGATGAGAAAAGGTTTTGCAAGCTAAGTAATGAGTTGAACATATTAGATTTCTCAAATATGTGTTGATGCACCCCTATTTATATGACATGTCTCTTCTTCGAGCAATCCAAGGTAAAAGTTGATTGGCATGGCATACATCCTTGCTAAGGACATGTTTAGTGCACCTAGACATCTTTCACATTTAAATAGGCTCATTCATGAAAATCAAATAAATTTGATGATTATATGGTACCACTATTGTTTCTATGCTTATTTTAATCTAGTGGTAGCATATGACATGTATGTGGGCTTGTAAACCTAGTGTTTAATCTAGAAAATAAGCTCTAAGTGTTTAACTCAACATGGTACAAGATAACCCTTATTTGGAGGTGTGAAGAAGCTTGTCCTTGGATCAAACCGAGTTAAATATCTTTGGCAAATGATCTAGATTGGACCAAATTTGGGAAAATGATCCTCACCCCATTGATTGACATTGATAATCTCAACCTATCTATTTTTTGAACCTTTATGGTCATTGATGACAAAGGAGGAGAAAAACAAATGTATTAGTACATGGGGAGAAAAACAAAGATATTAGTACATGGGAAGAAAAACAAAGATATTAGATATTAGTGTACTAAGATTATGAAAAGACAACAAAGGGGGAGAACTTGACATAAGGGAAGAGATATGACAAAGGAAAATGATCAATTAAAATTTTGAGCACACAAATAGGGGGAGCAAGCTCATGAACTTGTATGGTGCATTTGAATGTGCATTTCATATGTTTGCTTGAATGACACAAGTTTTAAATTTTAATATCTATGCTTGTGTGGTGTATGCTAGTTATAGGTTTGAATGATGAAATGAAAATCTAGCATGCATAGGTTATCTAGTGATTTCATTTCCAAGTGTTTCCAAGTGGTATCAAGCTAACCATGGTGCTAAGGATGGTATAATAGAGCACTTCGATTGGTATCACGTTTCAAAGGTCTATCTTTTATACCTTAGCATCATATTGGTAGACATTGTCTCCTATATTTCCTATCTAAGCATATGTGCAAGCTACAATCCAAACTCTTAGCACATATGTAGGGGGAGCAATTGCTACCTTATAGGATTCATGAAACTTGTCCATATCCTTTTACACATGATAAATATGCTTGGGCAAACAACATGGATTCAATTGAATTTCAATTCATATCTTTGTAAAAGGGTTGTCATCAATTACAAAAAAGGAGGAGATTGAAAGCTCTAGTTTGGTTTTGGTGAATTGATGAAACCCTAAGTGTTAACCTAGTTTATCAAGTGATCATGAGATAGGTAGCACATTCCAAGTGATGGAACAAATGATGACCATGACATGGTGATGGTGACGCCATGGTGATGATCAAGTGCTTGGACTTGAAAAGAAGAAAGAGAAAAATAAAAGGCTCAAGGCAAAGGTATAAATGGTAGGAGTCATTTTGTTTTGGTGATCGAGACACTTAGTGAGTGTGATCACTTTTAGGATCGATAGCCATACTATTAAGAGGGGTGAAACTCGTATCGAAATGCGGTTGTCAAAGTGCCACTAGATGCTCTAACTCATTGCATATGCATTTAGGATCTAGTGGAGTGGTAACACCCTAGAAAATATTTGTGAAAATATGCTAACACATATGCACAAGGTGATACACTTAGTGGTTGGCACATTTGAGTAAGGGTGAAGAAGATAGAGGTGAAGAGGAGTTGGTCTCGCTAGTCACAAAGTGACTGGACGCTGGTCTCAGAGGGATCAACGTGTCCGGTTAGTTGTAACAGCTAAGACGCTGGCGTCGGTCAAACAACCGGACGCTGGGTCGCTCAGCGACCGGACGTTGGAAGGCTGCGTCCGGTCATGCTGACGTGGCAGCACAGTGGAAGACACCATGTGACCGGACGCGTCCGGTCGGGAAAAATCGTTTCTGGAAGCATACTGGAAATGACCGAACGCTGGGGGTTCAGCGTCCGGTCACTGTTAGCTGCTGTGTCCGGTCGTCTTCTGACCGTTGAGATCGGGCGCACAGCATTTGAAGAGAGGGACACGTGGCACGCATCGCGTGACCGGACGCTGAGGTCCAGTGTCCGGTTGATATGACCGGAGCGTCCGGTCACTCCGTGTTGTGCCCAGTGAAGGGGTACAACAACTCTATTTTGTGGGGGCTTCTATTTAAGCCCCATGGCTAGCTCAATCTTATTCTCTTGGCCATTTGCATTGACATAGCAACCTTGTGAGCTTAGCCAAAGTCCTCCCACTCATCTCCATTATTGATTCATCATCTTTGTGAGATTGGAAGAGAATCCAAGTGCATTACTTGAGTGTTTGCATCTAGAGGCACTTGGCGTTCATGTTTCGTTGTGGGATTCGCTTGTTACTCTTGGTGGTTGCCGCCACCTAGACGGCTTGGAGCAGCGAGAATTGTCGAGCGGAGGTTGGTGATTGTCTCCGGCTGCGATCGTGGTGATTGTGAGGAGTTCTTGACCTTTCCCCGGTAGAGAGCCAAAAGGTACTCTAGTGAATTGCTTGTGGCTTGTGTGATCCCCATCTTGTGTTGGTTGTGCGGCACCCTATTGAGGGTTTGGCGTGTGATGCCAATTAGCGCGTGAACCTCCAAGTGAGTGAATCACCACAATGAGGAGTAGCTTGCCGGCAAGCAAGTGAACCTCGATAAAAAATCATTGTGTTCATCATTTGATTCCGAGGTGATTGGTCTTCATTGATATTGATTCTTGTGATTGATTGGTTCACTCCTCGATACGACGGTATAACTATCTTGCTCACTCTCTTTACATTACCGCAAACGAGTTGTCAAGCTCTTTAGTGTAGCTAGTTGTGAGAGCTTAATAGTTTGGTTAGTGTGGCTCTTTAGTTAGCTTTTGAGAGCACACTAACTTAGTGTAGTGACATAGCTGTTGTGTGGATAGAAACTATATCAACTAGAATTGTGGTAGGTGGCTTGCATTTTTGGTAGGCTAGCGCAACACTTGCTTCGTCTTATAATTGTCTAACCGGTTTGCTAAGTGTTTTTGTAGAAATTTTTATTAGGCTACTCACCCCCCCTCTAGCCATTAGGACCTTTCACAGGGCTGTGACGGCTCCATCGTCATCAACTCCATGCCGGGAAACAAGACCGAGAAGGATCAACCCGCTTATCGCCAAGAGCTCCAGGGTGACGCTTGCGGCCGACCAAGTTCTTCCTGTGGCGCTGCCCGACACTGCCAAGGTGGCGTACTCGCTGTTCGCCTCCAACTGGCCCGCGCCGGTGCCGGGTTCATCCAAGCCCCAGCGCCCGGTGCTCATTGTGCTGCTGGCCGCAATTCCTTCTCACCGCCGTGTTCGGCGTCGCGCACCTCTCGGTCATGTACATCGGCCCATCGCTCGTGTACCGGTTCGTCGAATTCGTGCGACGCAGCGGGGAGCTCACGGAGGGGCTGCAGCTTGTCGCCGTCCTCCTCATCGGCAAGGCGACCGAGACACTAGTGTCACATCACTACGTGTTCCAGGGCCAGAAGGTGGGAAAGGCTTGGGAAGAAGGACTCCGCGGGAACGGCGTCTCCGTGCGTGGTTTCGTTCGCGTAAAGTTACGCGGAAGAGGAAGGAATTTCTCAACTCCTAAAAAATTATAAGTAAATATTATGAGTTGTTGGAGAGAGGTTTTTTTTTCATCTTTCTAAAAATATAAAGATTAGGAGGATATTTAGGCAACTGTCGGAGATGCCCTAAACTAATCGCCCCCTCCCGTAAACGCCTCACCCCTCCGTAATCACCCCATCAAACCTTCTCCTTCCTCGCGCTGCGCCCGCACACGATCATCCCCATCCTCTCCACGCCCCGCTCATCCTCTCCACGCCCCGCTCCTCCCCCACCGAGCCCGCTGCGCTGCCCATCGCGCCTGCTCCCCCATGGTATGCGCCCCCTCCGTCGCCAAATCCGACAGCTTGAGGACCCCGGCCTGCGCCGCGCCGCCTTCACGCCGCCGGCGCTGCTTCGCGCCGCCCCGAAGAGCGCCCGGAGATCTCGACGCCTCCCCGACCTGCGTCGCCACCTCGACGACACCGGGACGCCTCCTCGATCTGCGCTGTGCTGCCTCCACGCCGCCGGCACCTGCTCGTCGCTGTGCGCCCCAGCCCCAAACCGTCCGTGAGCTGCGAGCTTCGCATCCCGCAGCAGCAGGAGGACACCGTGACGCCGACCCCGCCTTCTCGTCCCCGCTGCGAACGCGCCCCAGCCGCCCCCTCCGCCGACGGTGAAGACGCGTGTTCCAGTCGCTAACGCTGGCAGCAGGAGGACCCAGACGCTCCAAGGCCGCTTCGACGACTGACTGCCGCAGCCGCGACGCTGACCCCGCCACCCGGCCTCCTCCTCCCCGCTGCAAACATAAAAAACTAAGGTGAGGAGATGAAACTACATATGAATTTTCACACATCAGCGAGTTCCGTGATTCAGTCTGACGAAACTGATCTTCATTCAGTGCCAGAATATCTAAAGAAGCTCCTTTCTTTAGAGAGTGAACCTGTAGATCTGTTGTACAATCACAAGGGAGGCATCTCATCCATTCCGCGACAGCCCGGTGATTGCCTCTCTTTCATAACTGAAGACCTCTCCGTGACGTACAGAGACATGCTTTGTAAGTTCTTTGTCAGTTAGTCTTATGGCTTCATGTGTTCAGCTACTTGGTGTGTAAGACATGACCTACAGAGATGTTTTTGAAAGTTATGCAGCCACTACTTAAGTTACATAATAATTTGCAAAAAGTAATCCTTGGCTGGTTTATTCTCATGATTTTAATATGAGTTCAGATAATTTTGTTATAGGGATGATCAGAAAGTTCTACACTAGGATCATGTGGTATAAGTAATTGCTCTATGGTTGAGGAGAATAACAAATGCGTACAAGTTAAACCTTGTCAACAGGGAAACAACTATGCTTATGAGTTCTGATAAAAGGGCCTATTTTGTGGCATTTTGTATTATTTTGCAATAAATTTTGTGCTATACCTTCCTCTAATTCAGCATCGACAAGAAAATGTAGTTATGAAAGCATTGTTTATATCCTGCAATGTCAATCACATATGCTGCAATTAAAAAATCCTGTGATTTTTTCAAACATATGCCTCGTGCTTGAACTGAATGAGGCACCTGATGAGGGTAGAAGTTGCTTCCTGAAGCTTTGGTCAAAGTGATTCAAGAGTACTTTTAGTTTCAGTTCGCTGACAGAAGATACTGAGCTGTGAACATGGATGTTTGGTGACTTGAATATTTAGTGATCATGATGCCATGCAACTTGCTTGAACATGTCACATATTTCTTGAATCAGTTCGTGGCTTCATGGTCGCTTGAAAATGTCTCATAGTCTTGTGTTATCTTTTTTTTTTTCTTCTAAAAACAGGATGGCATTTCCTTGGTAGTTGTCAATGTTTTGATCAGCTATCCTGATGCCATGATTCTAAAAAAAGTAATGGTTCTAAGACCTTGATTGTAATCATGTCCATCTTATTTATGCTTCTGTGATGCAGGTTAATGTTGAGACCATGTTTTTTACTCACACTTCATCTGCGAGCCTCAAGTAAGACATTGACCAGCTATTTCTACTGTTTATTGGCTTTTCCATTGATGTGGGACATAGTCCCCGGGTATCCCGCAAGGAAGGGAGAAGATCTAGTCCGACTAGGAATTCTCCACATGTAATTCTAGTAACATTGCTATGTTGTAATCCTACTAGAACTCTTACTTCCTAATTGATTAGGAGACTTACCTTCTGGGCTACATAAAGGAGGGCAGTGCTCTCTAGATCGGCACCCAATAGGAACAGACCTCATGGTCTAAACCTAAGCGCAAGGCGTAATATACTATTCACTCCACACTGGACGTAGGACGCTATTCCGGCGGACCGAACCAGTATAAATTGTTGTCTCTATGTTCACCGTCGAGTTCTGCATACGCCGAAGCCCACCAACCTTCGTCCCGGGTAACCCCGTGACGAGTTGCCGGTCATCAAACACCGCTGGCGCGCTAGGTAGGGGCTTTCGGCGACTTCGCAATCGAGAGCTCGACAGACCTCAAGATTATAATCACGTCGATACAGGGATCAACTTTCATCGACTTGTGGCGATTCGACGACTGGACACTCCGGGTTAGCGGCTTGCATCATCAACTGGGCATTTCGTGGCAGTTTGCGGCAACACTCTATCGTGCATAGATACGTGGAGTTTATTAATCCACAAGCCGTCAGCCTATGATGACCATCGGCCGTAGCATCGGCTCCAATTCCCTAGATTCCGATCCGTCGAAGAAGAAAGCCGGCGAATACATCCATGGTGACGTCAACAACCTACGCCGGATCTGATCTAATCAGAGTACAAGTCGGTCTTCAACGCCGCCTTCGTCTCCGGCACGCATCAACATAGGAATTTCGAAATCAAGGTTTTAAGGGATCAAGGCATTGGTCCGCAACCGGACATGGCAAGTTGGATGAAGGACGACAAGCCAGCAAAGACATATATGTATACGTGTACACATGCACGTACGTCTCTGACCTGCATGTACAAGGCTTCGGGATCAGATATCGTGCATACACCCGATGCATCTCTGAAGTCAGAATCACGAGCAGGCAAACTCGGCGTGCAACGCTGGGCGCGCCCTGGCACGATTGAAGCTGTCGCCGGCAGCACGCGGCCGCCACTCCAAATCGGCAAAAAAGGCCAATGTCCGAGTCCTCAACCAACAAGGAAGGAGGCGTACACAGCTACGCATGTTTCGGCAACAACACCACGCGTCCGATTACATGCAAGCCGACTACCATATTGATTGGGCTAGCATGCAAGCGTGCTCTACAGCACATCTATCTACTCGGATACTACGCCGACTACTCGGCTACGACGCTTCACATGTCAGTCGACCGATTGGTTTACTTCATCAACAACCTCGGACGATGACTAAGCTGATGCTTGGGGCTCCCAAACCCGAAACGATCAATCGGCTGCTACTCATTCATGATTCGACGTCAACACACAAGGGCAACATACATGCTGCCGTCGGACGACTGGACTCTGTCAGGCTACATCACGACTTCACATGACCGTGGGCTCCGGCCCTTTCACGGCCAACACGGTCCGACTACGCCTTTACCACACGCCGACTATTCCACTCGGTCATTAATCAAGCTAAGTCACAGTTTTAATATTTTTTCTAAATATTCTTAGTTCTTTATATATCTCTGGATATTATACATGTGCCTCCGCGGCCATACCATAATCGCATTCCCGACTACCTATACAGCTTCGCGCTAGTAGTCGGAATGACATGCGCTCCACGCATATTCTCTTTTTTCGTGTAGCGTCGACTGCTCTAGTTTTCTCTTAACAGTTGTAAAATTACTTAAGTAATACGAACTCATATTTGTGACGCATTTACTCGCACGGCTCACATGGTCACAGTCATGAACCTCACGACCATACGCCGGAGATACAAGTGCTTACACAGTCGGGAGCAATTACTCGGGGAATTTACACAGCCTAGCAAGAGTAAGACGCGAAAAGTTTTACATGCATTTCATAATACTGGGATCCGCTCCCGACCTATTATTTTACATGCATGGGACCTGCTCTCGACTTGATATCATGAATATCAATAACTACAAAATTTTGTATATTTGTCTTGCAGGCAACCAGATCTGGACCATGCCTGCTGGGTGAGGTACGTGCCTCCACGGGCTGCCTTATTCGGACCACTACTTAGCTGGCCTGTTGGGTGTGGGTTCCTCGCCGTTATTCGGCGGCTCTTGACGTCACTCATATTGTCGACTCGTTGTCGTCCCATGACGGCCCCATCATCAGCATGCTGTGGTTCTCGTAGCCAGCACGCCACGGCTTGCATCGCCGGTTCGGTCGTGCCTCATCAACACGACGACCCTCGTCGTCATCTGCGGCGGCACTCGTCGTCCCCCATCAACTTGGACATGACCAGGTTCCTGAGCCGGCTTATGAGCCGTCGGACAACAGAGGTATAGGCCAAGTTCGACTGCCATTCGAGCCCTACTCAAGTCTAACTACTACTCGGCGTTTTTGGCTCATGATCGATGGATATGCAACGTCGAGACCATGCAAGCAATCAGATGTAGGCAGGTGTGCTCATGCATGTACGATTGCAAGTAAGCTAATGGAGATTATCAAGACAGCATGCAGGACACATACGTGCGCTAATTCTACAAGCCACTCCTACACGTCCATGACTGCCTTACAACAAGTCGACAAAACGGCTCAAGTCAAGTCGGACTGCAATGCTGCCTCCGTCTCCGACTTCAACGACGACTTCTGCCAGAGTTAGATTCGGGTTGCACTCTAGTGCTAGCAGCGGAGGCATACTCGGACATACTCGGACACGTCATTATTAATAATGACTGAAGCAAATAAGGAAGGACGACGTACATCTTCAGAGCCATGCAAGATAACTGTCACGTATATACTTGAATATTAAAGACTTGCATGCAAGCTAAAGAAGGAACGTGTACAAAAGGCGTGCAAGCTAATATCAGGACTTACATGCATACACCTCGTCCGACTGTGCATCAAGCCGGCTAGCCGAGCAATGCATGCAAGTACAAAGAATCAACATGCTCATTCTGATCCTGTATATGCGTGCATATATCACGCACGCAGCAGCTCTGAAAGCTCAAGATAAAGGACACAAAAAGGCAGAGTTGGCAGTCTCGGCATACTACGCTGAGCAAAGCAAGCCGGCGGGTTGCACCTCTTGCAATCGACATCTTCCCCGCGCCGCTAGCATATCGTCAACACTATAATGACTCCGGGCCTCGTCATCAGCATCTACGGCGGTCATCACCGTCACCATGCAATGGCTCCGACCATCATCGACAGCATACACGGCGGTCGTCACCGTCAACATGCAATGGCTCCGGCTGTTCCTTCCCACTACTCGAACGGGTGGCCTCGCTGCTACCTTATGTCCGTTACAGAGATCGGTCGGCTATCACGTTGCCACACATCTCTACTACAAGGTACACAACCTAGCATTGTTCACACCTTCGACAAGTAGCCATGCTCCTACTTTTTAACTATAAGATAGGCTGGCTATCCATGCTACCTCACATCTCTCCGACTATGATGTCGTCACCCGGCACGCAATCTTGACAAGTTGCATACGCTGGATACTGGGCTATATTGTCTTTTTGCGAGATACGCCTCCTACTCGGACGGCCTACGTCTCTATGGCCGGGAGACAATTACCGACATTTAGTCTTACTATCCCATGTCGTGCCGGATAGAGTGATTCCTGGAAGCAAGGTACCTGATTCGTTCACTACAGGGCGGGATCCTAATAGTGAACAATCGCTACAAAGGCCCCTTGAACAAGTGTTATCACACACTTAACGTCGACGGAAGGGTCAAACATGATTTAAATCATAATGACTCCGTTGACTACTTTTGAGCTCGGCTAATCCATCTTACGCGCCTTTTTCAAAAGTACTATACAAGACAATACAAGCCTCATATGCAGACTACAATCTTACTCACAGATTAACAGTCTAAAACAACTTTTTATGAACAAAAAGTTACTCAAACAAGCCAACCCCCTGGGGCACTCGGCTTACTAATAGACTAGCTGTCGA